TGTATAAAGTTTATCGATTAAGCGAACATATTTAATTGATTGTTTTTCTAATATAAACTACGGCACTGATTTATAACCGAAAGGAAGCTTTTTTATTGCTTAGTAACCTAGACTATAATTTTATTTATTCCCTAAATAATTTAACCATGAGAATATCCTTTGCGTGCGCGATATATATAACGGTCTCGTCCTTGCCCTCGTTACCGCGATGTTACTAGTATCAATTGCATTCAACGTTTGATCGGAATCTGATAACAGATAAAAAAGATATTTATAAAATTGACTAAACCTTTATTTATTGATAATCATGGAAAGAGGATAGGCGTTTTGTTATTGATTAGGTTTAAGACTTTTTTTCTTTTGGGATATAGTTTTTTTTTTGTCTCAGCGATGCAGTAACCTTTTGCGAAGTACAATTTTAAATGTTTGTTTTGATTTTAAACCGTGTGCAAAAGTTCGTTCAACCGATGTCCTTTAGATTTATCTTATCTTTGTCTTTACATCTTAACTGTGTGCCACGAATACAAATATTTTTTTGTATAATAATATTTTCCCAAGAGTTTTTTTTAAATTAAAATAAAAATTAAATGTAATTGAATATTATTGGTTTGTTACCCAATAGTTGTAAATTGGAGAAAAATATTACACAAAATTATCTATTGCCTTTAATTTTATAGTAAATTTCACCAAAATGACATCAAATAATAGATTGATACTTCACGTCTATGTGATAAACACCTTTGTTATTCAAGTGATTTGTCTGTAAGACGGATCGCCTGTTAACTCGTCATTCGAGAAGGACAACGTAACTTCCTTGTTTATTTTTCCGCGAGTACACATTGTCAAGATCGGTCTAGTTTATTTTACTAGACAATTGCTAGTTAAAGAATAATCGTTATAACAAAGCCGGATCTTACCACCTCTAAAGGTGGGTCTATGTTAGAGTAGGCGAGCACAAGCTGAACGAAGACGAGCAACTCGAGGTGTCAAGTGTTGACGTACAAAGAGCTTACAATAATCCCCGAATATAGCTTTGTGAGTGCTCACGGACAAATACCTTTGTGTTCCTCAAAAAATCGACAATAGACGGAGCACAGTCGAGCACGAGCCAAACGATCGACGAAGAAACGACGAAGCTGGCTCGCTTGAGGCTCGTCAGTCAGTCACACACAAATTCTGGCTCGACACGTCTAGCATGGACGCACCTTTTCAATATTACAGTATTACAAAGCCTGACACATTGAAATAAGAAACTAAAGTGATGATCCTTTGTACGCGGATGTGGCATTTCACTTACATTGTTTTATTTGTTTCTATGTAAATGCTTATAGGTTTGTCTTGAAGATACGAGTACGCTCGAACCGAATGCACTTATGATTCATCGATTTCTGAGACCGATTTTTTTAACTTCTTTTATGGGAATAACATAAAATAGTAATGCGTAAATCCGTTACATACATAAGAAGTAATAAAACATTTATCTCATATTCTGATATAAATGATAATAAGTTGATTAACAATTACTAATCCTTTTTGAGTTATTTTTACAATTTTTTATAGCATGTAAAATAAAATTATCGGTCGTCAACGCTAATCAAGGTTACCACTTTAAATTGTCAGATATACGAGTATTTAGGAGAATTTTGATCATCTTCAACTATATCAATTCAAAGAACATTTTCTTGCATTTTAGTATATAAGTATAAAACTTTTATATACATTTTATTGAAATATTAAATACGTTAATTGGAATATAGGTTTTAATGATTTTTTATTCAAGCATCTCTTAAAGAAGAAATAATAAGATGCTTACGATGCAGCTACAAATTTATTTTATAAATTATAAGCTTACGTTGATTACAATAAAATTAAAAGTAGGCTGAGTCATGTCCAATTAAATTTTTCCATGTCCACACGCGTGACAATAAAAACTGTTTTGTATCACTTACCGAATAATTGTTGGTAGATCAATTTATTTTTATTGGTCCATGTCTACATCATCTCATTTAATATAGGTACTTATAGTTTGTAAACACTTCCTCGACGGAAATTTTCCTCTCAACGTACGTGATTCGTTGAAAACTGCGCATAAACTGTTATAAATTATGCCACGATTATTATGCCAAAGTTCAATACTAAATACAATCACAGACGAACAATGTAGCGAGGTTTCATGTTAATTTACCTTTCAGATGACATATCATCCCTTAAGCGCTTCTAGAAAAGGAAAGTTCGACCGTGCTCGCTTTAGCGCGCATCTCTTAATTTTACAATTTCAAATACATAAAAAAGTGTTTGAAATTACTATACCAAAATGGAATACTTATATTAATCTTTAAAATATTATCTCAGTAAACAAAGTAAAAATAATTCAGCCTTCAAGTTACTATTATGAATTCTTGTCACATTTTATTGCGACCTTTCTCAAACATAAATCATGACTACGGGGTACTGACCAATGTACCTACTTAAACGTTTTAAATGTTTGTGTATGTTGCAATTCAAACATAGGTGCTTGTTTTGTTAAGTTGAATTAAGGCTTCGAAACTAATATACTATGTTTGCCGTAGAAAAATCATTTAACTATATTAATCACTAGCGTTACTATCTGTTGGTTTCTGGGACCAAAGTCCCCGTTTAAAAATTATTGTTAACGCTATTTTATCAAATATGAAAGACAGGGATGACGATCGGCGATCTCGGAAACCAACTGTCAGGCTTAAATTTTTTTTAATCGTAAAATAATTCGCGTTATCCGAGAATATTATCTTTCTATGTCATTAAGCAATATTGTCATTGATGTAGCTTTTTTGTATGGAGATCACGTCTCTGGTAAATATTCATAAGCGATTTATAGCCTTTAATATACGTGGCTATTTTAACCTTCTTATTGTAATGGCAATATATCTATAACATAGTGAAATAGTGACCTAGAGGACGACACACAAAGGCTTTCCCGACCTACAGTAGTAAGACCATTAGGATATAGAAATTTGATTTAATTGAATAACAAAGAATTGATCTACTTTGTTTTTGAGTAATGGTTGTTCGTTACCATAAGATTATGATTCTTTAGCATCAAACACGACTAGTCCCATCCCTTTTTTATATCAAAAGGTGGCAAACGAGTGAGCGACCGTTGCTCATAGACGTACATAGCTGCCTACCTTTAATCGACAGAGGGGATGCACAGAAAAAAAAATACTTTCCCTTCCCACGCATCACCTCATGAAAAGTCCACTTTAACTCCCATCCTTTGCTTATAGATAAAGGCTGGGAAGAAATAAAGGACTAAAATTAGGCCTCTGGGACGCACACTCATCAGACGAAACGCGGAATTGCTTCCACTTCACGCCTGTCTTCTGTGTGTTTTAACACATAAAACCATTTCTAAGCCATTACTCAAGATTGTTAAACCAAAAATAAATCTCTAGCTATGGTAATAAGACGTAAACAATTAAATATTTTATTGAAAGCATTAGCATTTATGGTAAACGACAGTAAAACCGAATCGCAATGACGCAAGACTTTCACATAACGAGACGTTAATTTTAATGTTTTGGTATAACATCGGTCAGTGCTTCTGTGTAATGGTACGTCTTGAAAGGACAATAACATATTTGTGTAATGGGTTGCCTACTATGACTGTAAAATGTAACGTCATTATGAAATAATGCTTAATGTTATTAATCGTTGATGTAATTTCTACTCGACATACTTCCATTAGGGTTGTTCTATTTTGAACGACAACCTTATGAAATGAAAGCTATAAAATATTTTTAAATTATTGTTATTAGATGTTCTTACGATGAAGGAATACATCGTGATGCATACATATCTATGAAGAAATTCAAAGATTAACCAATCCGCATTAGGCAGTGTGGTTGACTATTACATAGTCACCTCTAACTTAAGGTAGGCTTTGAGGCCCTCAGTAAAGACGTATATTGGGGTGATAATAATCTTATAATAAATATAAAATTGTTATAATTGATAATTTCATATATGTACTGCCAGTTTATCCACAGGAAATGTTCTAGATTGAATAACCCGCGTGATTAGCGTTTATTATTCAGCTTACAGTACATAAGGCGGTTGTCAGCAATAAATTTGTAGTAAATATAATTATATGTATGTTCACGAATGTTGTTTATGTATCGTTGTATTACAGAGGTGCATAATTTTAATTTTAAATGCATGCCACATAGACGTACTACTAGAAGCACAACGCGTAATCTAGTACAGTCATGTTATGTACTCTATATTATTACATAAGATAATGATACGTTATTAATTTAAACTTTGGCCATATAATATGAGGACTTTTTATATACTTTGATTCTATATATTTTTATATTTCTTTTAATTATTGTGTGCTATTATTTCCTATAGAATAGTTCAAGGTTACTGCTACTGTCATTAATAAAAAGTCACATAACCAACATACAGAATAAGTGATTATTTATTCAATTTAAGTAATGCGGCGGCGGCGCTGCGATAACTTCTGTTAACGTTGATTGACTCTGTAATAGCTATAGAATATGTTTATAATGTGCTATTCATTTAATTCCGCATTAATAATTGAATCTAATAATGTTAGTTTTATAAAACATTTTTAATATATCACAAGGAAGTCTATATATTTTATGATTTATTTCCAATTAATAAAATTGGGAGTGTCAGTATGTAATATCGAAAAGAAAAACATTATTTGCACACATGGATATTGACGTTGCTTATAACAAAAATATCTGAAAATAACAGTAATTCCTGAAATGACAGAACCGCTTTTCATAGAACTTTTACTGGAAGGTAGCTTATGTTTGCGAAAGTTAATTATTTTTCTTACGCTTCACTGACAAAGTCACGGGGAGCTAGTAAAGCATCAATATCTAATAATTAAGTTCACTAATAAACTTAAATCTTTGGGAAAACTATTTTTCTTCGATTGTTACTGATTAGTAGAATCAAATAATAACATGTACATTTGATTGTTACAGACAGAAAGTGAGACATCATGTGAGGAAGCGGCGCGGCTGACCGCAGAAGGAGCGGGCGAGGCTGACGATGACGAGGCGTTTGACTACGGCGCGCTACCACCGCCTCCTGACGGCGGATACGGCTGGGTGGTCGTCTTCGCGTCTTTTATGTGCAACCTGGTGGTTGACGGTATCGCGTACACGTTTGGCATATTCCTACCCGAGCTCGTCACATACTTCGGCGAGGGTAAAGGAACTGTTGCATGGGTCGGCAGTTTGCTGTCAGGAGTGTACTTAGCTGCAGGTAATTTTTTTTAATCTTCATTATTAGCAATCAGTTCTTTACACCTAAGTACCTAATTACCTTTGTTTTCGCGATTCCTGGTTCATCTGCAAAGCTTACACACATATGATATGAACTAGCTGTTGTCCGTGACTCCGTCTGCGCAATGTAGATTTTACACAACCTATTAATGTCATTATAACATAATTGATGTAACACATAAAGATCCTAACGAAATAATTAAAATAAAAATTATTCATAAATTATTGTTTTACATACAATTATGAATAATAGGGGCGTCTCTGTTCGATAAAACTAAATTGAATGCTGAGTAAATATTATTATCCTACTTCATGTGTTCAAATAATTGTCACACCAATGACGTCACTTTTGGTCATATTGTTTGGGCTAATTTTAAACCAGATTAATGCCTAACAAATAAAATAATCAATTCAATGGTGTATGAGTTTGTTTAACAAAACTGTGGTTTTGGTATTTATTTTTTGGTTCTATCTCTCTCTCGCATTCCTGACGTCAGAAGTTTACATATATTTGAGATGTTTGTTAGTTTTCGGTTATTGTATGCGTAAATTTCATACAACGCACTATAATTTATCAATCAAGCAACGCATACATGTCGTAAAAGTGGTGATTTTGTTAATGTTAGATTGCCTATGCCTTGTATATAGACCTTCACTGCTTAACGACATATTCTTCAAACATAAAATATTAATATTTACAACTTCTTAAAATATTTTGCTAGTGTATAGAAGTTTTAATATGTTTATTTAGCAAGACATAACAAACACGGCTATCTTTTATTACACGTCTCCATGACAACCACGATGTAAGAGAGTGATCTCAAGTTTGCACAAACTTTTGCACTTATAATGCCAATTTAAAGCAAATAGCCTTCCATTATAAGACCCAAAGCCGAAAGATACTATTGAAATATCTTCCTATTTGTACAGTAAAATGTAACGAAATTAAAGACCTCTGAACCATATTATTCATATTTAAAATGATTTTCCTACCAATTAATTGATTCATCTTTTCAAACTGGTCAAAACACCTAAGCCTTACTCAAATTAAAACTCGACGTAGGTATATGTTTGCCATATTTTTTTAAACGGTTACGTAATTTCTGGCTTTACAATATATTGTACAAATAAAGGTTTTTTTTTTCTATACATTATTTATTGTTCGATTCTCGACGATTTCGCGTTGATCCCTTGCCCCACTTTACGTAACACTCGACAGTTTAAGCCCTCTGTATGTCGCGTTTGAAGCGCTTAAACCTAAAGTCTACAGATAGGTCGCTTTATAGGATAAATATTTCTAACTTAAACGTTTGATTTTAAAATAATATTTAATTTAAAGAAATATAAAACCCGATTGTCTACGTCAGCTTTACTCAAACTACACCCCCGAAGCACTGTTGCTTCGAAAAGACTTCCTGGGGAGTCCACAAAAATATCTGGAAAAAATAACGAAAAAAACTATAGCAGTACTATAAGGTTTAAACAGATAAGGTGATGATAGAAATAGTATTTTAGAAGTCGTTTAAATTATAGTTTCTTATTATCAAAATGTTACAATTACAAGACATTATGTTTGTATCGTTAGAAGTATTGCTTAAGTGTTTGTCCAGGCTACTGTGTCGAGTTTGTCATATATACGATAAGATAGCTTGACTATTCAAGACAGTGTCATTGGACTCTCTATTTAAATATGTAACATAAATTTAGCTCTAAAGACTCATCTTACTATTTACTAATATTATAAATGCGAATGTTTAGTTGGATGTATGTTTATTTGAAGTGATATACGGAACGGCAGAACAGATCTCCTCGCTAAAATTTGCGATAGATGTAGTCCATAGTTTGTAAGAACATATAGGCTACTTATTAACTCAATTCCGTGCGGACGGAGTCACAGGCGACAGCTAGTTGTTAATAAACTATATTATTTATATTCTTAGTCCAATAAATGTGTAGTAACAAAGATATTTATTTGTCGTAAAACTTATATTATAGTAATCACAAATAACGAGCTAACCAAGTCGTCCAAGATTTATTACAATTACCAGGATAATCTTACTTTTAAATTGTACAACTCAACGGTTTTCACAAAACGAATAATCATTAATAACTATTTTGCAAACCTGTATCAACTTGGCCAAGGCAATCCTTGCACACCTCATATTACGAGTATACCTCAGTACTTAAGTACCAATAAATTTGTTGTAGATTAAAACCTATTTCGAACACTGGCCGTAAAGAAAGATTGTAAGATTATATATACGTCAAAAAGAAAGGACGTTTAAGTTTAGGAAAAAACTTAAGAACGTGTGTCTGCAATAAAGAACCTATATTGTGAGAAATAATAGTTTCACTGGCAAGGTTTATCACAAAATTAATCTGTATTCAATGTACATATAAAGAAATGTTGCTAAGCCACATAATCTTATCTGTGAATTATAATCTTTAAAAAACTAGTCAGATAAGGTGTACGATTTTTATTTATCTAGTATTCTACCTTGCTACTTGCATTTATCTGAAAGTCGTAATTGACCTGATTAAACATGACTATCATAGATTAATATCTAAAATAGAGTTTATCGATCAAGTTTTCAAATCTTTAGCACTCAAATATTTGCACTGTCTTAATACATGTATAAAGCAAATTATAATCATGAATATCATTTTAGGCTCTAAGTAGATTTTTAAGTATCTTTTTTTTAACTTAAAATTAACTAATAGTGTTTGAAAACGATAAATTAGACATAATTAACCACAATTACAACAAGAGTAATGTGTTTAAATCATTATCGATCTATTTGAACTTAATTCGGGTTAGGTCACTGACGTCTATTACTAATTTATCGACGTGTCTAGTCATTTCTCCTAGATTGTAAAATCACCCGTTCATTGTACTCATTTCTCATTAGAGCTGATTACAAATATGATAGGTGATGAGTCTATTTCAACAAACCTATATTAACTTAATATGTACTTAAAAGTAAGTTCTGGCAACGTTTTACCAGTTTATGATCCTCTTAGTTACGGATGTGGTGGCAAACGGCTTAAAATTAAGCCGTTTGCCCGTTCCTATAAAAAAGAATATAAATTTTAATATAAACATTCGAATAAAATATCTATTTTTTCGTATTACTTTAGCTTTAGTTCTTAGAAAAAAAACACCTATGGGATGAAGGTATAAAAATATTTGTAAACGCTATATTTATAATGACAATCTAATTCTTGTAAAGCTTCGTATAAGCTTGTTGGGAACTTTAGAAGATTCCCAACAAGCTTATACGAAGCTAATAATCCTGAAATATTTAGGCGGTTGTTTATTGTAAAGATTCATAACCACTATTCAAATATTAAACTGCTATTGCTGTATCTTGTTAGTGCCATCAATAAACAGTATAAATTTACATAGGTACTTCCAAGCAATCATGTGATTAGACCCTTGAACTGGATAGCGGGTATTTAAATGATTCTTGAGCAAATAAGTTTCGCAAGTGTAGTGAATTAGGATTTAGCACAAGGTATAAACAGGACTATTAATTTAATTTAACGAGTAAATATAAGGCTGTGGAAAATGTGTATATTTTATGCATATATCCATGAATTTATTAATTACATTTAAGAGATAATCTGATGAAAAAATTAATGATTTTTATATACTCTCATTAATGTGACGCATATGAGTTTGTGGCCAGTGACGCAAAAGCCCCAAACAGAATTGAGAATATCCTAAATTTATCTTAGTACAACCGAAACTTTAGGTAACTAAAATTCAATAACCAAATTTCACAATTTTAAATCTGTGTAGGTAATTGACAACGATAACTGGGTAATAAACATTATAACCAAATAAAGGTTTAAAGTATTGTGAAATTTCTCTTTGAGGATGACAAAGAAAAGGAAAAATTACAAATTTAAAGTGCGGCTCACCTTCGGTATCACTCCTGATTCAGGTCATAACATGTTTGACTCAACCCACTAACAAAGACAGAACATTATACTTTACAATTTTTTTTTTAACTTAAAGGTTTCAAGAGAATGTGTAACTGCCAGGTATTCATATTTAAAGATCTCCGTATCAAATAATTAATATTGTATTATAAATTTCCCAGGTCCAATAGTATCAGCACTATGCAACAAGTATGGGTGTCGTGCGGTATGCGTCGCTGGCTCCCTGGTCGCGACCGTCGCCTTCGCGCTATCTACGCTAAGCAAGAGCGTCACCATGATGATGATCACTTATGGAGTACTCGGAGGTAAGCAGACACCAACGATATATGTTAACAGACCTCTTAAGAAAAGAAAGACTTCTTTTTTAAAGATGGAAGCATCTGCAGTTCCTTTGGTGTTGTAAACGATAACAATGTATGGAAAAAAATTGTAATAAGCAACTGATTTTGTTTCTGGCGGGTAAAATAGTAGAGGTATATTTCAGGCTCACGATCCCAGTCTATTTAAATAAAGAGAAACGTAAATAATGCGTCGTCATTAAAAAATGTAGGAATAAGGGTTTTGGTACTTTGTAGAGTGTAGGTTTTCCGATCTTTTGTCATTTAGGAGTATAAAGACTTGGTATATTTATACCTTTATCGATACCGAAACCTTAAACATCAATCGAAGCAAATGACCTTGACATGAAGTTTGTAATTCTTCGGTAGTCGTAAAATTTTAATGAGACTATTTCTAATTTCGCTTAGTTAACATTCCAACTGTATTTTACGGGCTTAAATCAAAACTCTTTATTGATATTGATGTTGAATCGTTATATTAAACTTTTACCATAAAGATTTTGCTTCAAAGTTAATATCATCTTTAGTCATTGAAAGCCATACACTTATAACCCTCCCAATCTATACGAGCTCTGATATTCCAAAATATGCTGATCATCAATATGTCGCTTGTTTGACAAATCTACTCTTTGAAGAATTAACTGCATCTCTACCTCTATCCTTGAAAAGGTTCAAAACATAGAACACGTAGTTCCTATGTCTTCAAAGCTGGTAGTATCGTCTATAAAAAACTTACAACTCATAGGGTACTATGGATATTTCCAAAATATTTAAGAAATTCTTACAGTTGTGAGTTGGCCTGTGTCCAGCCAGTAATGTTTAGTGTGAGCTCATAGAGACCGTACCTGCCGACTGCACGTGGACGACTGTTGCCATATCTGAATCGATACCTGTTTATATTACCGATCTAATAATATCGAGAGGTAAACAACTCGCGTATATCGAATGCAGTCACCATACCTTATAGCTCTATTATATGCAGGAGAGTTTGAAATATCGTATAGGCATTTCTTAATCGATATCTTTTTTATCCGAAGCGTTCAAAGACAAATTATCTATAGCCTATTGTTATTAACATTAAATAGATGAGCTTAGAAGCTGGCGATACGCCAACAACCTTTGGTACATTTTATGACGTATCATGATATCAGTTAGTCACAAAGTTCATACATCGACTTAAATTAGGTCCAATTATAAAAAGGGTTTCTCAATAACTCCCTATGAATAATGTCGGGTGTAGAGAAACGTGATCGAGTTAAATTCACGTGTTGGATCGACGGCCATGACACCATAAAGCAAATCTACGGACACCGAGCGCCCGGAGATTTACCTACTCACAATCCTCAATGAAAGCGATTTAATTAAACGTACAAAGATAGTGTTTTCATTCACTCGCACGTTTACTTCTTTTTTATTCGGACTGAAATCAATAATTGGTTTTATTCAAAGACTCCGTCTGCGCGAAATAAAATAAAAACTTAATTAATATTCTTTGCGTTCTTCCAACCTATGTTTTGCATCTATGCCAAATTTCTAGCCGTTCTGGAGATACCTTCTAACAAACCTCATTCAAATGTATAATATTAGTAAGATTGAAAAAATTCAATAACCAATAAAGTGTAAAGATGATAACGGTTTTATGAATCTCAAAATTTGTTCTTCTTGTTACTAAGTGCTATGTAAGGACAGACCTTTGTGGAACAAACGTCATCAGTGCTACTTTCTGACAAATAAATATATCACGAAATCTTGTATAGAGATATAAATATCTTTACAATATAAAATGTATATTCAGCCCTTTGTTACACATCACTGTCCTCGATTTAATTGCTATGAAGTAACAATCCATTTAATTAATGTTTACATGCCTATTCATTAGCTATCTGCGCTGAGTATTTATTCGCTATTGTTCCAATGTACACATGCATTATGAGGTTAGCTCATACATGCGCGATATCAACGGGTCCTTTGTGTTCATTTCGTTCCCTATTTTCTGAAATTTTAATAAAGAAATCTCTCTGTAATATTTTTAAAAGTTTAATTTTAATATGCATACTTTTATCAGGAGATTAAAGAGTACACGGCAATTTTAACTTGAGAAAATGTTACGACAATATTAAACATTATACAAAGTGTTGGTGTAAACCAACAATGGTTTACATCTTCTTACTATATTACTTATTACTTCTCACTAATGTTATAAATGTTTAAATTTAGATGGATGGATGGATTCATGTTTGTTTGAAGGTGTCTCTGGAACGGCTCAACGGATATTGATGACATTTACCACAGATTTAGAACATAGTCTGGAAAAACACATAGGCTACTTATTAAGTTTTTTTTATTCGCGCGGACAGAGTCGCAGGCTACAGCTTGTAAGGGATACAATCGTAAATGAAATCTTCACAGACGTACTTTAAACAATAAAATTTGCATATGTAAGTAATACATTAATTACAATTTGATTCCGCGTTAACAACAAAGGAACTTCAAGTAACAAAGAAAATTACTTATTCTTGTCTTCGCGATACGAAAATAATTTGGATAAGGTAAGGGATAACGAAACAAATATTGAAACGTTTTGACCTGTTCTTTGTTCGTCTGCAACTCAGCAAACCGTATGTTTGGAAGTTCGCCAATCGTTTGTACTAGGGCTGTCACTAAAGGCTACACGAATTATTAGCTGCTTTATATGTACAATGTACAAAACCAATGTAAAAAACATTTGATAGTTTATTTTCTTTGATAAAATCTAAATGAAAATATCGATTTATTGTATGATTAACTTTGTTATTCTTATGATTAACCATTTGTGGTTCTGAATTTACGCTTTTCGTCTTTAATATTCTAGTAATAAAACAAGAGTAAGCGTGCAAGAGAAACATTGACAGGATAAAAAAAAGTCATAGTAATATAAATGTTGATAACCCTGGATTTAACGATTTGAATGAAACAGCTAAAGCGTCCTCTACCCCGTCTATAATAAGCCCTTTTCATTGGCTGCGAGTGGAAAACTTGGGATTTTCCGCAAATGCAGACTTTTGCATCGATTTAAACTCACGATAAAGAATTCTCTACGCGACTTGGTTATTGGGAGCGTGGATTTAATATATTATACTTGTTAGTAAACATAATTTAAATACAATAGAAATTAGTAAGCACACTTTTATAGAGCGCGTTATTTACACATTTTAATATTGTATAAACGTCCATACTGTAATCTAATGACCTCGCCTGCTATCAATTAGCTTAAGCAATGAATGTCTCCCGGGAGATCTGAGTATATCGACATTAAAGGTACATTAAATTTTAATAAGTAAATTAAAAATTGTATGTGAGTTCCCTTACGCGCATTTAATTAATTAACAATATTACTTTCAACCAAATATGGCTTAACAATTAAGATTGTAGGGAAGTGACTTTTTTGTGACGTCATTTGTAAATCGTTAAAAATCGTTTTTGAAGTGAAAAGATGAGTCATTCATTAAGACATTCAAATGTTAAAATTCAATGTTCTCTAAAAAATTACGTTAACACAATACTTTTATAGACAGATTGAGATTCACTGAAGTCAAATTATCGATAAGTTCTCATTACAACGTTTGTAGAATGTTTACTGTAGAAAATTTTGCAATAAAGTTATTGGCGTTACTTCAAATTAATCCTATTTCAACATAATTTTTAGGACTTATTTTATTTTTAATTTAAGCTAAAATAATATAAACATAGTCCGCACTCGTGGCCGTGGCGTAAGTAACAATGGAAACCTTATCAAAATCAATGTACATTCTATAGCTCTATTATTAGTTTCAACGTGCTTACACGCGTATTATAGATTAGACACATTTAAATAGCAAATCGGTAACGGTTCAATATATTAAAGGACAAGCGAAAAAAATCTAAAGAAAACAAACGTTGCACTGGGGGGGTTCCGATTAGCATTGCAGCAAAACGCACGCTATATCTTATATATAAAATTCTCGTGTCACAATGTTCGTTCCTCCATACTCCTCCGAAACGGCTTGACCGATTCTCATGAAATTTTGTGAGCATATTGTGTAGGTCTGAGAATCGGCTAACATCTACTTTTAATCCCGCGCGGACGGAGTCGCGGGCGACAGCTAGTATGAAGTAATATAAAAATGTTAACGACTTTACATACTTTAAAAGATGCTTAATCTAAGACAACAAAACTTTATTTTTCAGTTTAAATCAACATACCTATGCCTATATTGGAGTATCTAATCCATACGAATGTTAGGAGAATTGATAAGTTACACCACTACTAGTTTTTGTCGCGACTCTGTCCGAGCGAAATTAAAACAAATATGGTCTACGTGTTCTTCCGGACTATGTCCTACATCGATTTCATAGAGATCCGTTAAGCCGTTATAGAGATACTTTTTTTTTAAAATCCACCAAACTTTGCATTTTTAGTAAGATATTAATAAGATTTATCACTATAATTATATCTTCATATAGTTTTTATATGTCAAGGTTACAGTCACATTGGATTGCAGCCAGCCAGGCTAGACATAATGGCGTCCTTTTACAAGTTCTGCGAATTTGTTTTAAATATAGTCAACAAGAAAAAAAAAGAAAAACAACACACTTAAAAATATTCCATATATGTACGTTGAATAGTTTTTATAAAATCTACGCATTTCTATATTACGACATATGATTTGTTTTAATGTACAGATATCAGTTACTTAACTCCATGTTTTGTTTAACGATTATATCCCTACAAGCAGCTCAATACTGTTGTGTTCCAGCTTCATAGCTTAAATGGACCAAAAGAATGAAATCATCAAACTTTTCTAGTTCAAATGTTCTCTGTATTTTTACGGACAAAGAAAAATATTTACGTTTGCTTTTATTTGTGTTGCATTTTAAAATATAATTGACACTGCAAGTTGCAAAAGGAAAACAAATCTCAACAAATTGCGCGAACGTGTTCTTGTTTACTTTTCCTTTCTTTGTCAAGAGTTAACTATGCTGTAGGTGAATTAAAAGAAAAGATGAAAACATCGTTTTATTTAGAAAAACGTATTAATATCTTGCTCCAACTTACTATCAAATTAAGGGGTCCCCAGACATAAAAAAAAACTTGTTATCATACATAACCCTTATGTTCTTTTTGTATAGTAAACCATACATACAACTTTTTAAAAAGATACGATCACTATAAAATTATTTTTAACTTAGTTCCTTAATTGAATTATAATAATTATTGTTATTTTGATATAAATATTTGTCAGTATTTGCATATCTCTGTACCGTATGTACAAACATAATATCGGGAACATAATATGACATGAGTCATTGCATTCGCGGCCCACAAATCGACATCGGATACGAACAAAGCAGCGTACTCGTATGTAGAGGTCATCAGCACTAATTCAGAGTGCGTCACCTTCCGGCCAAGTGCGTTAGCATCAGGAAAAATGTTGATTTGCAATTTACATACGTATCATCATAATAATTAAAAATAACACAAATAAATATGTTGCCAATAAAATGTAGTATCTAATTGCAAACAATCTATTAACCCGAATTAAGTTTAACACCGATTAACGAGAAATCCTTTCAGTAACCGAGCAGGCAGTAATTTCAGCGCTACAAGACTGAATGGTTTGAAAGCTTGTGGTAGACTTTATTCGACAACGGAATAAATGTCAATATAATATAGTTAATAACATTATGTATAGGGAACGATTTGTTCAGATGTCCTATATCGAAAATTTTAACAGTGGTAGAGCCCGCTTTAACATCTTCGCACGAATTGGCCCGGCTCGCCCGGTGAAATACCACGACCACACAGAAGACAGGCGTGAAGTGGAAGCAATTCCGCGTTTCGTCTGATGAGTGTGCGTCCCGGAGGCCTAATTTAGTCCTCTTTCCCTTCCCACCCTTTTTCTTATAACGAAAGGATGGGAAGTGGAAGTGGACTTTCCGGATGAGAGGATGCATGGAAAGAGAATATATTTTCTTTCTTTGCATCCTCTCCTCCGTCGATTAAAGGTAGGCAACGCATATGCAATTGCGTATGTCTATGGGCAACGGTCACTTCGCTATTTCAGCGATTTCAGGTGGCCGCTCGCTCGTTTGCCACCTTATGATATAAAAAAAAATCCGGTTTAAAAACACAAGGGACGTCACATAAATGGGCCACTTTATTTATTTTTAACAAAGTGCTTTTGATAACGAATTGAGTAATTATCACGTAAGATTACATTTATACACTAGTCTTAAATAGATCATACTGTTTATGTGATGTTTAATATTGTTGTAATAATCTTTCGTATTGTTCCATTATATGTCAAAACATAGTTCGATTCGTTACTAGCCCAAAATATTATGTCTCCCAGTATCACAGTGACATTGAAACGTGATGATCTCATTTTGGCAGCTGTGTGGCTGACTAGCTTGAAAATTGGTGTTAATGTGACTAAACGTCTGAATCTATTCGGTGGGAACAACTGACTCATTCACTTGACCACCAGCTGATTTGTATCTCACGAATTTGCTACGAATTAGCCTAAAATATACTGTCAATAATTGCTCATACTATTATAATATATAATTTAAATATGCAAGTGTATTTTTGGTCGTATTTTGTTATGAGAAGCAAGCCCGGTACTACGGCTTCCTTCTCTTAATTTTATCGTACCTCGAAGAAAGTTCTTTCGACCTGAATACGTATAGCTAAATTGATTTTCAAAATTTTAAAGGTTTAAAGTGACTGATCAAGTTTTAGCCTATCGATTTTATAGCATATAGTTTTTGCTGGCCATAAATATTACCAACTTTTAAAAACATTTTGAATACAAATTGGGACAGGTCTCTTGGGACTCAAACTTCAACCTTCATGCAATGAGTTGTTATGGAACTCACAATGAATTTATCCCCTAATAAGAAGCGAGCAAATACCAAGAGAATACACTTGAATGAACGAGCGCGGTTTGATTGAACGTAATAAAAATTGGGTCACTAGAGTGCCTACTTAGTCGCGCCGGCCGTTTTTCTTTCTACCAAATAAGAAAAGCAAAAGTTAGCTTCTTTTGTTTTGACTCTAGACTCTTGGCTGTTGACGACAATTTTGATGACGTAGAAATAAAATTTAGTTTACAATTAAGGTTTTCAAATATCAAAGACATTATTTGAATTGAAATATACTTAAAATTTCAAAATATTTCTTTATGTACTATCCTCAGGCATCGGCTTCGGTATGATCTACCTGCCGTCGGTAGTGGCCGTGGGTTACTACTTCGAGACTCGACGCTCGTTGGCCACCGGTATCGCGGTGTGCGGATCCGGTGTAGGCACGTTCAGCTTTGCGCCACTCGCCAGCATCCTGTTGCAGCAGTTCGGCTCCTGGCAGAATGCAAACCTTCTTCTTGCCGGACTTATTCTCAACTGTGCAGTATTCGGTGCGCTTATGCGACCGTTGGTGTATCCGAAGGTAAGTGGTATAATTGTTGTTATGGTCCTCATGTAAGGATAAGCCCTAAAAAGAATAGTCCCGTTGAAGAATCGGAGAAAAGGATTATTACTAACTAAAACATTTTCATTTCCAGACATCAGGCCAAAAGCCTTTACTGCAACGAATGGCCGAAGAGAAAAGACTGCAAATGGAACGTGGCTCCATTGGAGGTTCATACTTCGTGGTACAATTACCTGATGGTACCATGGAGAAACGATTAAAGGTAACACTTTTGAACACTGAACTTTGAACTTTTGTTGTTTAAATTCATTATTATGCAAGATTCCCGATACATGTTTAATAGGCACCGCTGAACATCGACCCTGGCGTGCACTCATCTTTGAACCTGGAGGCACTGGCCCGCGTGCCCACCGTGCCCAACATGCCGGGTGTGCCAACTGTGCCTACGTTGCCCACTATCACCGAAGCCAGGGTCGTGGACGTCGATATCGCAGAAAAGAAAAAGGTATTATAAGATAATGGTATTCAACTTGAAAATTGACGTCTCTGTGTGGTGATGCCTTGAGCGCGCGAGCCCATTCTTGCCACAGAAGTTGCTGGCGTCTACCACTATATGTTTTTATTTATTCCAGAACGAAAATGGGTCTGCTGTGGGCGTGGGTGTGGGCGTGGGTCAGGCGATGGCACGCAACGTGTCTTCGCCCGCGTTCAGCGCGCAAGCCCCCGGCCTGCCTAAGAACGGCTCAGTTCCGTTCTTCGACCGGCAGCGCAAGCAGAGCACCGGCGACAGGTCAGATAGCGATAGGTAACCAATCAACTTGTATAATACACGGCCAAGGGATGTCTTGTCGGTGCTCGACACAAAAACTATGGGAAGCTTGTGTTTGTGAGTTCATGTTTTGTATGAATTCCTATATAATGCAAGCAATTTGTGTAAGCACTTTTATGTAATGCACAGTCTTAAATTTATACTTCTAACCGTGGGTTTCTGAGACCATAATCCCCGATGACATAAAATGTTTTGTCAAAGATGACAATATGTTCTACACAGATATTTTGGTCTCAGAAACCCACAGTTCTTACCGCTTGCAAAACTTTTTTAAAATAAAATGCTCGTAGATTCATATTGATTTAAATGAATAGATTACGTAGCCATTTTTTTTATATTTTAACACATGCAATGCCACTAAGATTGTCATGTAAGAAAGTCTCAAAGCAGAGTCGATGCCACTGGACGTGTTGAATTGTCACCAAAATACATTTTAGCGAGAAAACAATTATCACGCTTAACATCCGCTTATTTACTTTATGATGCTTTATATGTAAATTCATTTTAAAATAGATTAATTCTATCCCTTAATGTGTTTGTGTGTACACAAAATATCTTTATCATCATCTTTAAATATATAGATTTTGAATATATCTTGAATCTTAATATTGCTTTTATTTTCTAACACTCTTACAGATTCAAACCGTCCCTCGCTGCTATCAAAGCCACTTCGAAGACTTCGATGGCCAGCCATAGAAATATGAATGATGTGAGTTATTTAATATTTCCATTTAAATTAAAAACATATTTTCTAAACATACCAGTGTATTGAACCTCGTTTTTCAAAAATAGAAGCTTTTTTATTTGATATCCAAAAATTTGTCTTTTTTCCCACTTTAATTGCAACATTAACCGTGAGAGACCAAAAATATATCTATAAAACATATCCTCAACTCCGTAACTTTCTTTGAAAAACAAAGATAACAATATGTCTTAAGCTGGTATTTTCGTCTCAGAAACCCATGGTTAATTATATTATGCAAAATTCAGCGCTGTTTCCAAGCACACTAGGAGCAATAGCTGAGACTCCGCCCTTTGGCCAATGTCTGTGTACATTAGCCTTCATATTATGAATGCCAAAGTTTGGATGTATGGATGGATGTTTATTAGAAGTTACCAGGTTTATTGGTTATCGTACACGTAGAACATAGTCTGGAAGAACACACTCTCTCTCTCTAGAGTCGATCCCTCATGGCTGAGGATCGTGGTCAGCATCAGGGTTGGTCTAAATAATTCCAAAAATGTCTGGGGCAGAAGGGAACCGGTAACCACTGCTTCTATTTTCCCAAGAGAGTCAGCGTGGAACACATTACTAAATAAGCTTTTTTTATCGTGCAGACGGAGTCGCGGGCGACAGATAGTTAATTATAATTTTTCATATATTCCAGGGTGACACAGAGAGTCAAGTATACAACTCGAAGCTGTCAGTGGCCGCGGTGAAGGAACCATCCAGAATGGTGCGTCCGATGTCCCGCAAGGACATCTTCTACTCGGGTTCTGTACTCAACCTGCCGCAGTACCAGAGCCAGAAGTCGCTGCAGGGCTACAGGAACTCAGTCCTCAGCTTGCCGCAGAGCAGGCAGACTGGAGACCTCGAGAGACAGGAACGTTAGTATACCTTTGTATTACTCTTTTCAAATATCTTGGCCGCTCAACGTCCCTTCTTTTTATTTTTTGGACGGATTTTTTTTACGACAAACTATGTAATATAATATATATATATATATATATATATGTTTCAGAGTACGACCTATGTCCTTGTCTGACACTACCGGAGTCATTCAAGTCTGCGCTCGCGTCGATGTTGGACGTGAGCTTGCTGCGCGACCCCGCCTTCATGCTCATCGGCGTCTCCAACGTCTTCGGCATGGCGGGACTCTACGTGCCTTTTGTCTACATCGTCGATGCAGCATGTCTTAATGTCAGTATTAGTAACACTTCTCATATAAAAGAAACTTTATATCGATGTAAAATTTATTTGTATGTAACTTCCAGCTTGAATGTTACTAGCAAGAATTATAAAATGTACTATCAAATAGGAATAATTGCTTCAAAAACAGATTTGAATTAAAATCATTATATTATTTTATGGATAAATAATTCAGATTTAAAAAAAATAATTATTGTTAAAAATATGTTTTGCCGACCTTACATATACTTGTCAGTTCAAAAGTTACGACGTCACAATTCAGGTTTCACATTTAATAATGCATACATATTAATAAAATAAGACTGTCTGTATGTAATATCGAAAAAAAAATATGTTATACACATTTTTGGGCACGCGTTTGTTTTGGGTAATCTCCGGAAGGGCTGGACTGATTTTGACGGGACTGGGACGGGAAGGTACCTGATGCACGTGGCCATGTTATAGGCTACTATTTTGTCTATGCTTACGAAGTCGCAGTGGACTGCTAGTTCTTATATAAAACTTTGTTCATGTCTTAATTTCAGGGTGTGGAGCCATCGCAGGCGTCTTTCCTCTTATCAATAATCGGTATTACGAACACGATTGGTCGTATCGCGTGCGGAGCTGTCGCCGATCTGCCGCGAGTCGACGCTTTACTTCTCAACAACATCTGCCTTGTTATTGCCACGGTAAAACGCAACATATTAAAAAAAATAATTAAAAACAAAACCCGATTTGGAAAAGCAAAAAAAAAACAATCGACACCTTTTAAACCTGTCAAAATAAATTGTTATTGCAATTTTTCCAAAACAAAAAAAATTAAGTATATTTTTGGTCATGTACCGGCAGTGGAAACTCACGCTTAAAAAAAACTAACAGCTTCCTTTAAAATATTCTTTTTATTACTAATTGAATTATATAAATTGAAAACGTTTCCAGATATCAGTTGCATTGACGCCGTTCTGTTCAACATACGGCACTTATGTAGCTGTAGCTATCGCATTCGGTATCGCCATTTGTGAGTATAAATTATAATATTAAAAAAAAACAACTAAACTAACTCAACACAACAATTTTACGATATGTAAAAAAGTTCTGTATCATAAAAACATATAAAGAAACTAGCTGTCGCCCGCGACTCCGTCCGCGGGATTAAAAATAGATGTTGACCGATTCTCAGACCTACTCAATATCAAGCCGTTTCAGAGGAGTATGGGAACGAAAATTGTGACACGAGAATTTTATATATAAGATGTCTTCTGAAAAAAAAATACTTAATAAAAGTAAAATTGTAATAATTCCAGCGGGTTACATATCTCTGACTTCGATTATCCTGGTGGATCTTCTGGGACTGGACAAGCTGACGAACGCGTTCGGACTTCTCATACTGTTCCGTGGTGCGGCCGCTATAATTGGATCCCCGTTGGCCGGCGCTGTGTACGATGCTACACGGAACTACGATGCTTCATTTTACATGGCTGCGGCTTTCTTCCTCGCAGCTACTCTCACTTCTTTTGCTGCTCCTTTATTCAGAAGGTAAGGGATAATTTAATCTCTACTTATTTACATAGAAACTACTTGGAAACTTCCATAAAATCGTATAAACTGTGAGTATCCACTGCCTAAACTCTTGTACCAACTCTCCCCCAAGGACTCCGTCCGCACGGTTTGCAAAAAAAAACTTAGTAAGTGGCCTATGTGTTCTTCTAGACTATGTTCTACATCTATGCCAAATTTTATCGAGATCCGTTGAACCGTTCTGAAGATAACTTCTAAGAAACATCCATACATACAAATTTACGCATTTAATTTTCGAGAAGTAAGATTAATAAACTTATTGTATCCCCAGAAAACAAGAAGAAATCCAACAACCATTAGACGTACTGACACCGATCGACGAAGACCTTGAAGAAGGCGAGGATGAGGACCCGGATGACACTCCCATCACGATGGGCGCACACATCGGCCGCGCGCCCGCCATCACGCGCACCGCCGCCTCGCCCTCAGACCCGCCCAGCCCCACCAGCCCCACCAGCCCTACCAGCCCCACCAGCACCAACAGCCCCAGCGAGCGCACGCAGCGCGAAAGTGTACTCTAACACCCTTACATAAAGCTCAAAATACAGTGCAGTGAATACTAAAATATCAAGTGAAAGTGACGTCTAATACCAAAGTACAGTGACTTCTAAATATTATCAACTAGAACAGGCAGTGTGAAAGTGTGCTTTAATACCAACTATTAAGGACCAAAGTACTTTGCAGTGACTACTAAATATTATGAGAACACGAAGCGTAAAAGTGTGCTCTAAGTCTATCACAAAAAGATCAATATACCATGCAGTGATAACTAAATAATATCAAGAAGAACGCACAGTCCAAAACTATACTTTAACACCAATGAATAAAGACAGATATTGAGTGCAGTGACTAATGAGCAATATCAAGAAGCAAACTTGCTTGCTTGAAGTGTGCTTTATTACTTAAGTATAAAGTCCAAATTGCCGTGTACTGAATGAATAGATTCAATCCGTGTTAAGGAGTAAACTACCGTCCTGTATATCATAAACCGCCAGACCTGGAAATTAAATTTGGTATAATACCATACAAAGTTCTTGTATGGTTTAAAATATTGAAAAAAATAAGTTTACACGAAGTTAAACTTACTACAAAGTTTGCAATAAAGTAGATAATTTATATTCGCTTTATTTTAAACATTCACATCCAAAGAAGATATAGACATAATATATAAATAATAAAATAACGCTCTAAAGCTTATATGTAAATAAAAACAATTTTGAATTTAATTAATTTGAGTTCACCGTGTGCTCCGCGAAAATAGTATTTAACTGTTTGATCTTAAAGTTCAAAATGCTTTGTGACATTGCTATTATGGTTTTAAAGCAAATAAATAATTTGTTAGTTTATTATAAAATGACCAAAATATTACAAAAAAAAACTGTATTATGATCGAAACTGTAAATATGTAAACATTTAAAAATAGAACAGAACTTCTAAAAATGTTTTAACTCTATGGACAAACTGCAGTGCAAAAAATATTGGGCATTTTATTAAATGCCAAAAAGGCAACGACTACCATATCTTTTGGTCTCGAAGTTACGAACAAGAAATTTACTCATAAGAATTTAAATGCTCAATTTGTCTGTTTGTATAATGTAAAGATATTTCGTGAATTCTAGACTGACGGTTCCATAAGTACAATGTTTTGACACTTATTTCATAAGTTAAATACTGCTTTTTTTCATTGGCCTTTGATGTTTTAGTAATAAGTAATCCCCCATTACTTTATTCTGTGGACAGACAACTAAAAAAAAAACAATTTGATGATAAAAAAAGTTGTTGCAGTAAAAAAGTCGTATCGGTATTTTCTAAGATTATCCAGAACAAAGAAATACTTTTTTTGGTATATTATTATTAAAGAATTACGTACACTGAAGTTGCGTGTATATAAAGTTATGTTTGTACATAACAATATTTATTTCACTTTATGTATGAAGTTGAAAGTTAAATTAGTTACTGTTTCTTGTATATCTTATGTATTAAAACATCATTGGTTAATGTGTACAAAATAAACTTTACCTTAACTGGCTAAGATTAAGTAGTTGCTTAACTTTTAACCCTCTTACGTGTGAATTAATCAATAGAGCTTGTTTCACTAAAACTTATGTAAATATGTATATTTTAACAATTGTTACCATTTCAAAGCATTTTAGTGTCGCAATAAAAAAATAATACTCAATCTTTAAGATTCTTAAAAAGTTAATAAAAAAATTAATGGAGTCCATTAATTATTAAAAATTATTGGCAAGTATTAAAAATGTATTAATGACAAGTATTTGTGCGAACTATAGAATTTTTAGTACTTAATGTGGTGTAAAAATATATAAAAAGCAATCTTTTAATTATAAGTTTTCATGTTTCTATTAACACTTCATATGACGAGGAAATATTAAAAAGTAAACAGCAATGAATTCGTGAAATTATTTAATACAATAAAAAAATAGTCGACCTAGTCAGATTATGAATTGACAATGTTCGCAACCGTACAGCGACATAGAATAGGCTAACATATTCTAAAATTTGTCACCTATTTAGTATTAAAATCTAAAATGATACTACTTTGGACCGAAAGCCTTCAATTAGAAGGTGAATGTTACTATGTAAAAATATCAGGTAGTTTTTGAAACAGGCCTAACTTATGTACTGGTCTGTAAAGTAAATAATGATTAACTTATTTACTTTATCTTATTGATTCGTTACAATTATAAAGTTCTGCTAAATTTATCATTTCATTTGGCTATGAAAATATATTATTCATTTCATTTTATGGTGTTACCATAATATTATGCACATATTTTAAAATATTAATTTATGAATTGTTTTTTTTTTAATTATCTTTTTTGCCATTGACTGGCAAATATCTTGTATGTAAAAATCGAAGATGTGCCATTTTTTATGAACAACTCTACGATGTAAATAATAATGATATATAAAGCAAATGGCAACACAGAGTCAATTCCTTGTGCGTTAACCAAATAATGATTGTCAAGAAGCAGTAGGGTACTTGCCAGTGTATCAATATGTATTTTGGAGATAATATATTTTTTGTCATAGATTTTTATGTCGATAAAGCATAATTTAAATTTAAGCGTGATTAGATAGTTAAAAAAAAAGTTAAGGTCTAAATATAGACAGAAAGTATTATGTGATAAAGATGCTATATAAACAAATGTCATTTATAAATCAGCCCATACATGAATTTATAATGGTGAATGTTAATTTACGTTTGTAAGTTTTTAAGTGTAATTTTATGTAAAAAAAAAGATTGTATTGAAAATAATTCATAAAAAAGTTATTGAGTAAACGTTAACTATTGTTATAGCTTTATGGAAAACCAAAAGTGTTATGTTGTTAAGAATGGGATTATTAAAAAAAAATTGTCATAATTAGTGACCATGAGCGAGCAAGGGTTATTATATAAAATCATTTATATGCCAAAATGCAGTCCATATAAATATAAATTGCTTATAAAAAAGTATTTAACATTTCCTAAGCATTGGTTTTCACTTCGAGGACACTTTTATAAAATATCTCTTTCTTTATCGTACTACAAAGGGCATTGAAAAAAAAGTTTTTTTAAGTGTTACGACAGACCTAAGGTAATATTCATTCAGTCTCAATTCCGATTTATAATTAATTCAATATTTAATTTAATACCGACCTATTCGATGTAAAGAGTTATATCTACAAAAAGATCTTATAAGATATGTAACTATTTTCGTGGGATAAGTCGAGATATCTTATTTGGTTCCGTCTATATTTGAACTAAATCATTATAAGAAATGAATATCGATTTTATTTAATCCTCGGTATTTTTTAAATAAGTTTAAAAGTGTGTTTGAAGGAATCATTTAATAATTAATTAATCACCGCTCGCTTGGTGCTTAAATCAATTTGCTGTCGGGAATTTTTTTAATTATGTTATACACAGTATTGGCTGAAAGCATTTCTTATTATATAATCCCTTTGCAAAAGGTTCAAATTAAATGTTTATAAATTGTTTTTAATGATACTAAGTTTTTTTTAGTGTGATAGATGTAAATAAAATTGTAAAATAATTTTATATGTTTTTTTTTTCAGTCTTTGTAAACGATTATTTTTTTAATTATTTAAGCGTAATCGAGGACATTATAATGTCAATTTTATGGTATTTTTGTTTAACTAGGCAAGGAATGTTTACCGACCGGTGTGTGCGAAGAGTATTCACATGTGCCCACACCCCGGTAAACAGTGAGTCGAGGGAACCAGAGGGGGTTTAGTGGGTAGGCTCCTTGTCCCTTTAGGGATGTGGAGAGAGTCCCACATAACCGGAGTGGCTTTCCCCGAGGCACCCGGTATGCGTAACGCATTCCCCCTCTTTAAAAAAAAGGCAAGGAATGTTTTTTAAAGGTTTATTTACAAGGCCTAAATTTCATGATGACATCTAAAAGACTCAAGTAAAATTACGTTATAGAATTTGATTTAGGTCTTTGTTGCTCAAAAACTAAGCAGTTTTTTTCTCTTAGCTATATCATTTTACGGCAAAAGAGAATTAATCTGTGTGGTCATGTCTAAATTTGCAATTTTGTAAACAATTCAGATTTTACTGGCTACGACGTAATTAATTGTATTTCACAGTTTTTACAGCATATTGAATAATTCTTAAATAAAATGGATCAATGTTATGTGTAATCATTTTAAAGTATAATAAAAGATAAAAAAAAATCGGTTGTCTGTAATGACATCAAAATGAAACTTACCATTATATACTTAGGGACCGCCGATTAATGTTATTAATCAGTTTTATGAGCCAAAAAATTAAAAAAAAAATTAGTTATTTTATTGCATTATGTTTGAACCGTTTGCAAATTTGTATCGCGCAAGTCGCTAGCTCCACAGCTAATCGTTATGTCCACCGAGACTTTTGTAAATAAATAATTCATTAAATGATGATGACTGAAATTAGTTGTTTTATTTTAATACCAGTACCTGGATGACCGAGCTGGATGAGCTTTGCTCGGTATTCTTTTTTTAAATTGTGTTTTTTGGAAATTATATTTAAGTACGAATTACTAATAAAATGATGAAATATGAATAATGTTTTTCGATCTTACCGATAGAAAAACACGAATAAAATGACATTTTCTAAAAATGATTCCTAGCTAGATCGATTTATCGCCCCCGAAACCCTCTTTATACTAAATTTTATGAAAATCGTTGGAGCCGATTCCAGACATATACACACTCACAGAAGAATTATATATATATATATATATATATGATGAATTTTGATGGGATCTGGGAATGGTTTAGATTCACAATTATGTCCGCTGGACAATGTTTTTTTAATTTATTAGTAGTTGTTAATTTTGGAATGTTTTACATTGGATCCGACAGACGGCGCTACCATCGCAGTGTCAAATTTTAAATAATATTCAAATTTAAGACGTGTAGACAGGACAACGTCTGTCGGGTCCGCTAGTATATATATACAAGAATCGCTCATTTAAAGATAAAAGATAGTATTTATAAGTAACATCTACCGGAACTGCGGAAGTAAACTGAAATATGTGTAGGAACACTAGTGTAAAGTATACAAAACAGATTTCATTTTTCAATTAGACTTTGTGGCGTTTACTTATCGATTTCGCTTGACACAAGATCGGCGAAAGTTCACTGAGCTGACGGCCTACCTCCATTAAATGGAGAGGCACCTCGAGAGAGAGAGCGTCAAAAAGTGGGTAGACCAATATTACTACCTAAAACATTTTTTCACACCTACCGCATCACTTTAGTCACCCCCCGAACATGTGTCATGCAACAGCATTGTAATACTGGGTAATCAAAAAGCCCAATTGTGGTAATAATCACGTTTCTTTTGTTTGTAATAGTAAAATCTATCCATTTTTTATAAGTTTGAAAACTAGTGAAGTGTTGTTGAACCTGTTCCATTCCATCTGCAACTGAAACACAAATAATGTAAGTAACCAATTTATTTAATGACTGAGCTACCGCATTTTATTAAGGATATTACTTAGTTTCGCCATCAAGGTATAAAGATTCAGTGCCGGTGTTGTGGTAGAGCGTGGTTAGGCGACCGCCCAGGGCGCTGGACAGAAAGAGGCGTCGCAGATCTGCGAATTGTAGTCTCACATCTCCTGCGTCTGAGAAATTTCGCTCAGAGTGCTAATAGACCTAAAACCGCAATTGCATGGTTTCATAATAATTTTATATAAAGTGTTACAGGCCTCTGCTTTAAGGCGCTATGTTTATCTGCACTTTGTCTACATACACTATATATTTCAACGTAAACCTACAACTAAAATCTGAGTATTACAATATCAAAGTTACCTAAGATAATTGTGACAAATATGACGAAATGACCTACTATATTACGTCATACATCTGATCTAGATATAAGATGGCATTTATAAAATTGACTGATCAATTCGCGTTTGTCTGACCTCGAGGTTAATCGCTACGAGTCTCGTGTATCGCACGATGTCATAAAATGGGAGGCTAATTCATTCTTACTACAGGACAGAACAACTATGCCTGATATAGATTTAATGTTTTTTAAAGAATTAATTGAAAGAAATAGTTACATTATGAAGCTAAAAAGTTGTTAATTGTAATAATTTGTGCTTATTGTTGACAAGAATATATTACTTTGTTTCACAAATCAGCCCACATGATGTAAATATACATTTTAATAAGCAACGCATGAAATTTTACGACTCATTGATAACTTTGACACATGTGACCTACTTTTGTTAAAGAAGTCTATTTATTACATTAATATTAAAGTTAATCTTAAATAATAATTATTCTTAGTTTATGTTGTATTACGAATATAAAATTATATGAATAATCTAATGATACAGTTAGAACTAGCGAAATATACACCATTTCTAAGTAAATAGAGAACAATCGATAATAAACAAATCAAATAGCAAGGCTTATGAACTAGTTTACTCGGAAGGTTACAAATCATTGTGAGTTCAGACGTCTTTTGTATTCTCATTCATCTACTCGTAATTATTATAACCGGATTGAATACAATTATTTTATAAATTTTAAACGTTAGTTTCCAATACCTGAAGATTACATTAATCTGGTTCTTGGTACGAGAAACATGACAATACTAACAGTCGCCCGCGACCCCGTCCGCGCAGAATTATAAAAATCCATTATATTATAGAAGCCTATGTATTATTCCAGACTAACTTTTATATGTATGCCAAATTAAATCGAGGTATGTACGTTCAGCCGTTCTGAAACAAACATCCATCCATCTATCTAAACATTCGCATTTATAATATGAATAAGATGATTACCTCATGTGTGATTTTTAAGTGTAATGGATAAATTAATCGTTTAAAAAAAATAACAATCCGAGCGACCTCTATCTGAGCGTACTGTATGACAGCAATTGACCTGTCAATGGCTGCGCGTGCATTCACTGTAACAGGTTAATTTGTTACGTCAGCAGTTCAACACTTTCAATGAATTCCGATGAAATCAGAGGAAGGTCTGTTAAGCACAGCACAGGCGGTTGTGTTTTCCGCTCGGCTAATGTTCCGACCTCGCACGTTTTGTTCCTTGACGTGGCAAGTTCTAGACATTTCTTACTGTTCAGTTAAACGCTTTAGAATGTTTCAATTGTTTATATTTAATTAACCACAAGCAGTTTTTATATTTTATTAAAATACAGTCGAACATGATAAACGAGAAACCTTTAGAAATTAGAGGTCCCTTACTCTTGCTATATTCAGGTTTGACTTTACATGTTATTTAAATTTTTGTTTTCATTGAAAAACAAAAGAGTAGCGGTTCTTAAATTGAGAAAGTTGAGAAAACTTGATTCCTCATCATCTCCTTGGCCTCTATTGATCTTACACCGTAGAGTCGGACAACTAGGATTTTGTTCATCGATCTATCAATCGTCATTCGACTTAGTTGAAGTACAAACTAAATAAAAATAAATTTCAGCTTAATACTTTCGCGTGTTCTTGACAAAAAGGGTCTTGTCAGACAGACGAACCGTCAACAAAGTGATCCTATAAGGGTTACGTTTTTTCCTCTCGAGGTACGGAACCCTAAAGAATCTTTAAATTTTGAATGAATGGTGAAACAAAGTTCATTTAATCGCGTATGTTTTAACATCACATCTGCGTCTGTTTATGTTAGCCCTTGAGCAGTACTTGGGACTGAGGAGCAGTTATAGTATCTGTTCGCACTGACATTAATTGCAAACAAGTTCCTTTTAAATTAGTTTGAAATGTAAATATAAAGTTTTACTTAAGAAAATCTGTTAGTGTGTGAAAGGTGACAATACGGTGGTCGATTTCCCGGATGAAAATCTGTTGCCTAGACCACACATAGAATAAAGACAGGGAGACGATGATTCATATGTTATAAAAACTGTACCTGCATTGTCTCACAAGAAAGCTACATTAGATTTAAGAAAAAACTGTTTTAAACGTCAACTAGTCGCTTTCAAGCATTAAAAACCGGATCATAGGTTACTTAAAATTCTATACCACTTAACATGTTGTTAAATGTGTTATATGCAATGAATTCCAATTTACAATATATTACTTAATAAATAATCAATAATTCAATAAGAAATAAATATCATTTTATATTTGCAAATAACTTTCTTTATATTTCCGATAATTTATCCCCCTAACTTTCCTTCAAAGACAATCGGTGCCATCTACGATTGAAATAGTCACAAAATCATTCTCCTCACATTCACAGCAACGTTAACGGGATAAATAGTGATGTGCGTCTACATTATCGATGTCATATCGATAATGTGAACGCGGACAAGGTCATTGACCGCTGGCTCGTGCAACTATGTGCTTGCGTTACATCAGCCGGCCTTGTCGGACACGGAACAATGATCTGACTGTAATGACTCCAGCGCCTAACACTCACACAGTGCTAGATAAGTTACCTTGAAAATTTCTGCGAAAAAAAAAATTGTCTTGAATTGATTGACACAAGAATAAGGCAGAGATGAACAGAGCTGTGAC